GACTTCCAATAAGGAAAAACACAATAAAGTTGACAGCTCATTAAGGCTGTATACAGCCTCCCTGTGACTAATCACTGCTTCTTCTCTTCGTGCTGCCGAGCAAAGCCTCGAGCTTTAATAAGCCGTCACCTAAAGTAAATATAATACCAGCGGACATTCAGTCTCCTGTTTGTTCGGTAGCCACAACTCGCCGTCGTTCCCCGCAATATAGAAGGTACACCGAGAGATAGATTAAATGCCAGGCTCCAGAAATAGCAGCAGCGGCAGCAGCAGCCCATTTGCTCTTTTCCATGATGCTGGCCACCAGATAACATTTACACCTGGCCCCAAAAAACTAGGTTAGACAACGACAAGGGAAGGGGCTTTTTTCATTTTATCGTGTCCCCTCTTTTGAAAAGACCTCTTTCATATTTCCTCTTCTCTCTTGAGCCCGTCGGCCTTCATTGTGCCACTAAAACTGCCTCTCAGTCTGGACAATAATCCGGGTGGACAATAAAGTAAACTTTTTTCATATTTGCAAAATAACTACATTATATTAAAAAATGTACAAGTGCAGTTTAGTTACAGTCTTGGAGAACATCACAGCTTTATCCATATCCCATCCACTATAAGCCATCCATCTGAGCTGTGAGGCGCTTTCGGATTCAAGCAGCTGCTCCACTTAGACGGAGCAGAGAATGAATGGAAATAACATATAACAATGTATAATTAGCAGCAAGTGGCTGTGACCTCTGCGCAAACACACGCATGCATGCTAACAACAGTAGAAGCCGAGCAGACAGCCGGCTGTTAAGGAAAAAAACAAAACAAGCCAATAAAACAATCTGTGGTTAACCACGTTAAACAAGATATCCAAGTCATTTGTTTTGGTTTACTGCACTGTGGAAGCGTCTGTTGCTGAAGCGTCTTACAAGAGAAAGCCGGGAGCCATGACTGTGACACAGAGCTTCACTAATAGACACAGAAAGATCAATCCTTTAGACTGATTTCACATCCTGGGTATCCACCTCATGCAGACCAAAGCAATCATCTGATCCGTATCATGCGATGAACAGCTCTATGACTGCTGCGTCAAATATCCTGAAGTGACACTGTTTTATTACAGTCTGCTCCAATACACTCTGATCTGTGCTGCTTTTATCAACTTCCCCTTTAAACTAGATTCAGTGCAGTCCACGCTACTTTACTTCAACCCATGTGAAGTTGAGTAGACTCGCAGACACGGCGAGAGCTGCTTGTTTTCACCGTGTGTGCACTATTTCCTGTTTAGATCCCCATTAGATACTCTGACAACACAAGAGAGATGCTCTCACTAGGCCAACAGATACCTCAGAGCACCTTAAGCGGACAAAAAAAGCAATATGAACTTATTCATAGCAATCGAATCAGAAATCTGCTTTTCAGACTTTAATAACTTCTCGGAAGGAGGAGAAACTACTCCATTGGTTTCATAAGATCTCAGGTGTTACGCAACAAAGTGCGAGCTAATATAAGAAAAAAAATCCGATTTAAGAATGTAATAAGGAAAAATAGACCCACGAGAGAAAAAGACTGCAGTTACTCACCACAGCTTGCGCGGCATCGTCACACAGTATTAAGAAGCCGATCAGGCGCAACCTTGCCCCCTTTTCGTCCTCTCTCTCCTCTATTATCCCTGTTTGTCCACTTGTGATATTCACTCACCCTCAGCACCACTTGAAGACAAAACAGATGCATGTGTTTGCTCTCTCTCACACACACACACACACGCACATGCGTGCACACACACGCACACACAAACACTGGCTTGATTATACAGGTATTAATGAGGTGACGGCTGTACGGTGAAGGAGGAGAGATCCTTTGTAGCATCCGTGAGCAAAGAAGAGGCAGAGGGAGACCGGGATTAATGACAGAGGAGAGATGAGACATGGGGAGAAAGAGCTTGAGCAACAGAGGAATAAATAGCACACTCTGAACCAAGGGCAGACGGGACGGAAAGGGGAGAGGAGAACAAAATAAAGCCCTCACACCTGCTGCAAACTTTGAAGTGTGCAATCCAACTGATGTTTTTGCTCCTTTGGCCTCCATTCTCTTGTTTCCTCTCCTTCCCCCTTGTGGCTTTACTCTCCTGTACTGTATATCGCTGCATGTGGTTTGGTTTTTCATTTTCATTTTTTTAATTACAGAAGTTTTGCAAACCAACTTTCAGGAATATCCTGAAAGTCATGAATTATGAATTCAATGTATGAATAATGTCCACGTCCTCAAAGTATAAATTAAAGGGGAATTTCAGGAAGATGCTGTTTGCATTAAAACAGCAACAGTGGATCAGACTTGGTGACCTGTTGAGGCAGCTCCCCATCGTTTGCCCTATGACAGCTGGGATAATGTCCAGCCCTGCCCGGCAACCTGCATTGAATAAGTGGAAGATAATAGGTAGATGGATGCTAGTAACTCTCACATTTCCTGTGACCTGTAATGATATGATTCACCAGGATCACATGAGTAATGAACTCACTTGCATCAATTCATCTACACCTCCGTCCCCATCAACAAATCATCGAGATACTGCATAATGTCTTTTGTACAGACTGTCTTCTCCTTTATTTCCAGTCCTACAGTTCCTGCTTCTGCACTGTTTTCTTACATCTAACGCCTGGATCAAACACACACGCACACAGGTTGGTTTTATTCATCGTTCGGGCAGACCAGGAGCTCCAGCAGAAGTCACGACTCACTCATTGATATTCAGACCCACTACAGAGTAGATGATCTAATGACACCTGGCCATGCAGGAGACACTGAAAGTGTGCACAGCTGTTTGTATGTGAGAGAACAGATAAAAGAGGAGCCCTACTTTACATGTTACGCGCTAACCTGCTTTCACTTTCCTGTTTAGAACAACAAAATGATTAAGGTTTTACCATAGCAGCATCTGGAGCCCTATTCCACCATTTCAAGTACTGTTCATGCAAACCTTTTACATTCTTATAATGCATCCTAATAATAATTTTTTTCACATAAGTTCATATAAACCCAGAACTCGGGTTTGTAAAACAGAGAAAAACATGAATAGAAAAAATATCTATGTGCCACTGCTATCAGGCTACTTGTTTCCAGTTCAAATCAGCGTGTTGCAGATATTTTGTTAAATCCAAACTTCTAATCCTCGATTCTGCGATTCCAACATGCTTTGTTCGTTTTTCTTTGAAGATGCAGAATCATTAGCATGACATGGAGGGGTTTTATTTTGTCATGTCTGACTATGCAGACAAGGTCTGGCCACCACCAAGAATAACAAAAGTCATGCTTAGATATCTAAAATATGCTCAGTTCTCTAAGGCTATCCATCTGGCATGATTAAACAGATGGTGCCATCACGGCACCTATGGAGAAAAGAGAGAGACGTTGGTAAGAAAAGTAGAGTGTGTGGTTCCTTTGGTAAAGAGAAACGGTGTATGTGCTTAAATATGATGGCTTTGGGGTATAGATAAAGATAGAATTGACACACACAAAAACCCATCATCTGTCCTCACTAAGGCAACTTCCTGTAGCAAGGCTTGCCGGTGGTTTGTTTCAACACAGAGAAGCTTCACATACCCTCAAAGATTGCCACATGAATAAAGTACACAACTGTGCAAGTGGCATTCACATCATCACATTCTCTGCCCATGCCCCGAATGAAAAAAGGTAAAAGCAGAAGCAGTAATTCTACACCTCAAAAGTTCACAGCACTGTGTAATTTTCACAACATTGTTCCTCTAAATTTGCAAAGTCACTGCCCACATTTAAATCCACAGGAGACAGCTTCTGAGAGGTGTGAAACATGAACCGGAACTAATAACTGTTTGTTGAATGCTGTCGGTTCTTATTAATAAAATTAAGACATCCAATCTAAGAGTTAACAACACCATCTTAGCTCAACTCAGCCACACAAAAACAAAGCAAATGGTCAGAGAGCTGCAGCTATGATAGGTCCTTGTTAGAGAAAAATAAAGGTCTGTTACAGTACATGCAAAGACATTTCATGCACCTGGTGAGATTTAGACCACATTTAAATGCTACAACCCACATTCAGCAATCCAAATCCACACAGAGAACATCTCAGTCCCTCAGTAGATGGACGATGGTGGCAGCCAATTAATTACCATGCCTCTTAAAGGCAGTGGTTCTTCCTAGTATCATCCTTCACCAGTGTGCTTGAAGAATCTCAAAAAACCTTAATACATCTTAAATGTATCTTAAAGGCTTTAATAAAGGTTAATATAATGCCTTTAATAATTCTAGCATGTGTCTCAAATGTCTGTATTCGTTGTGCAATGAGCTATAAGCTGGATTTAATTACTTATTTTTAGATCGTACAGCCCAAACAAACCCTTATGGAAAAACCCAGAGAACGCTGCTTATGCCAGTACATAGTATTCAAAAACTGCAGTCACACCTGGGAGCCACAGTGCAACCACAGAATTTACCTAGAACTCACTCGAGTACTTGGCAGTACAGGTATCTGCATGAGAAACTTCCTCCTTGTACGGGTATGACCTGCCAACAGGTACAAGCTGGCAGTGAAGAGAAAGTAAATGAGAGTGAATGACAGAAATCAATTTAGAAAATCTGTCACTCGGACCGGGAGTTGGAGATTTGTGTAAAGAGGTGTATACTGAATTTTTATGTGTCTAAAAAAAAGATTCATAGCTCTGCTGGGACTTTAAAGTCCATCAGTGTGATGGACAATATGTTTATCCGATGTTTTAAAGGTCTTCAGCTCAGTCTCAGCATGTTTGCAGAAAACATGGCTTTGTGCTTGACGGACACATTTCTGAATATTATCTGGAAGTTGTGGTGATTGGGCAATTGGGTTCAGAAGAGAGAATAAGATTTCCAAAATGACCCAGAGTGCTCATGTAGGCTGTCAAAGGAATAGACCACACCAGGGCGGCCCAGGCCTTTTGCTTTATGTCATCCTCCCTCTAAAACCTCTAAAAATAACAAGAACAACAACAACAAAAAACACTTACCGTGCTTTCAGTGCAGACAGAGTGGACTTGTCAATCCTGGAAAAGAAGCAAGAGAAGGCAGACACACACATAAAGAGGAAATTATTATTGATCATGTCTCTGATACAAATTGCTCCAAGCAGCAATTCAATTCTTTAGTCTAATTGCTCCTAATTTACTAAGGACATAAGCACAGGAAGGCAGGCAGATAAAGACGGTTAGGAGTGAGATTTATGTCTCCACGGGACCCCCGTGCTTCTGTGGCTTTAAAAAAAGAAAGGGTCATTAAAATTGTGGTTGCTTCTATTTGCCTTAATAGCTGCGGCAGTGTGAGTGTAAGCAACTGGCATAGACCAGAGCCTATGACAGACAGCCTCGTTTAACGAAGTTACCTCTCTGCAAACTGATCGACGTCTCAGTGCTTCACTGCACACTGGCCACACTACAAACAATTCACAACATTTCATTTTTGGTGCTGCTGTTCTCGTGCGAGTCATTTGAGGCTTTTCCATAAAGGAAACTATAAATATGTCAAGAGTCTTAACTTAAGGTTTATTTTGTGTGTTCTTATCAGCAAATGCATGCTTTACCGCAATCTACGCAGTGCCTAGCAGAGACATTTTAAATATCATTTGAATGTTTTACCACTTATTTGATATCAATAACAGTGCAGCATTACAGCAGCATCAGATCAGAGATAAATACTGTAAGCTCTTGTGATGTTTCACCGTCATGCAACAAAAAAGCTGATATTCAAATGTCAGAACAGAAAGCTTCTTATTTAGCTGCAGTTAGTTCATCATGTTCCTAAAACAACTACTGGACTTTATGACTGTGCTGTGACAGATGAAATACCCTCAGTCACACTGTAACAGAGCAGCAGCTGAAAATACACACCATCTATATTATGGCTCAATAATCCACCAAATCATACAATTTATTACAGGTAAGGGGAAATGATAATATATGTTTGTTAAAACATATTATGAGAGCAAAATCTCATCACCAGACCACTATATATGCTCACCAGCCACTTTGTTAGGTGTCGCTTGCTAGCGTTGGGTTTAGACCTCCTCTGGCCTCCAGAATTTCTTTTTGTGGTACATATTTAACAAGGTGCTTGAAACACCCGTCACAATTTTTGGTCCATACAGACATGACATCATCACACAGTTGCTGCAGATTTGCTAGCTACACATCCATGATGTGAATCTCTTGTTGCACCACATTCCAAAAATGCTCCATTGAGCTCGGATTGAGATCTGGTGACTGTGGAGGTCATTTGAGTACAGTGAGTATTCTCATGTTCAAGAAACCGGTTTGATACAGTTTGAGTTTTGTGACATAGTGTGTTATTCTGCTGGAAATAGCCAACAGAAGATACAGTGGGTACACTGTGGTCATAAAGGTCAGCAGGTAGGCTGCTCAGGCTACTCAGGTAGGCTGTTGCATGCACAGATGGTACTAAGAGGATCAAAGTGTGGCAAGAATATATCCCCCACACTGTTACAGCGCCACTACCAGGCTTATATGCTGATACAAGGGAGGAGTGATCCATGCTTTCATGTTGTTTAGGAAAAATTCAGACCCTGCATCCACAAAAAATAATCATTAGATCGATTGTTTTTTGTTTGTTTTTTTCAATCTTACATCATCCCGTTTTAGTGAGCCTGAGCGAAGTATGCTCTTCTGCATACTATGTTTGTTAATAGTAGTTATTTGAGTGATTGTTGCATTCCTATTAGCTTAAAGCAATTTGACCAATCTCCTGTGAACTTTACATTAGCAAGGCCCATAGAACTGACTTAAATCACCTCACCTTCCTCATTCTGATGCTCAATCATCATGTCCACGTATACATGTCTAAACGCACTTAGTTACTGCCATGGGATTGGCTGCTTAGCTATTTATGCTAACAAGCAGTTGAATATGTGTACCTAACAAAGTGGCTAGTGAGTACATTTTTCTTATCCAAAGAAAGTCACAGATGGTCACCATTGTTTGGTAACAGTAAGCTCAGCGTCCTCCTCACCTCTACATTTGATTTTACATTTACTAATGTGCTGATTAGCAGATGTTCAAACAGCTTCCATTTATCTATATCTGCGTCTGTGATGAACCAAAAAATGTTCATATTTGTGACTAGATGAACTGATAATTAAATACTACAGATAGAAGGTAAACCTAATGTGACTAAGATTTTGAAACTGCTCAAAAGCAAAACACTGTAAACAGCATTTTAAGGAACTTTACAGTAGTATGTTGTCAGTTTGCATCTGGATGCGGTTACATTTAAGCTCACACCCAAAATGAAGAGGGTTCAACTTCTCGGAAGAATCAATTTGTACAATATCTAAATACTTATATGCTGATGTTCTTTGTTTACAGCTGACAATGTACAAGAATTTCACCGGATGCTGCAAGTTCATTATCATCAGACCTGTGAGAAGTGTATTTTCCTGTCACACCTGCCTAATCTTAGCAGCATACAAAACACAATCTTGTACATTTTTAACAGCAATCCAAAAGAAAAGAAAAATAATCCCCCTTAACATATCCCTTCATGTCACACTGAGCATTCAAAGGAAGAAAATTAGAGACATTATTCCATGAGCTTTAACACGTGGAATTATTGTTTGGTTTAAGAATTTAAGAAAATGCTGATACAACTTTTCTTTTAGGGAAATATTTTTTTCCCAAGGATTAAAAAGACTGGATCTCTAACAGAGAAGTATCACAGAGAGACATTAGAGGATATTTTAACTAGCAGAGGAATTATCATACTGTACATGAGACTGCACTGTACTTGAATTGCACTTGGACCCGTAACCCATTATCAGTCAAAACTAAAGCAGTTGTGGTTTATCTAAACCTTCTGACCACTTAATTCTATTTTCTCGCTATCACCATTGACTTATGACATTCTTTTTAAAAATTAGTGTACCTGAAATCTTTTTTTTTTTTGTCCAACTTTTTTTTTCTGCAAAACACAACATATTGCACGCAAAGCTGCTGCTGCTCCTCAGCTCTGTCTGTTCGAGGTTATCGCAGCCTGTCTGGCCTATGCTGCATCAGCCCAGCTGGGAAGGTTAAGTGCTCTGAAGATGTGCTTCAGTGTCAGAATGACTAGCAGCAAGGGAGCCAAACGCACAAAAACACTCCATCCGAGTGTGTCACAGCATTCAGTGCTAAATGGGCTTGCTGGCAGCTTCTTTAACGCTGCATCATGGGAACTTCCCTCTGCCAATACAGTAGGAGAGCATTACCAGAACAAGCTGCG